CATTGTGACAACCTGCAATGTTTACGCGTCGAAGAGAGGATGTGGAAGGACAGGTTGAATAATACCATTGATAGATCAAGGAAGAAATGTCGATTAACTGGCCTAGTGATAGATCTTACTATTCGGGCAATGGCTCCACCGTACTGTTAAAACAATACGTAATCTTACTTGAATCACATAATCCTCCATCTAAAAACAGTATTTACAAACTCACATGCTGCATAGAACTAGAATAGTCCCTTTAAAAACCAACATGGAAACAGATGAATCAGCTGAAACCTGAAATATCAAGAACTGATAAATATTTACGATAAGATAAGAACATACCCGAGTAACTTGGCGCTCTTTGAGAGCGGGATGAAGGTGTGTACGAAGCCATCGTTGAGAATGAGAGAAGCCTAGAACTATGACTAACAAACGTTTTTCTGCTAAACAGAGCGAAATTTAAATTTCAATCATTGTTTTGTTCACATTTGAATGATCTACAACAATAGTTGGATATTGGTTTTACACAAGAGTGCGCAGAGCTACCTCTTTTGCTCTGGGGAACTGTCGATTAGAAAACCCTAACGCGGGCTATCCAGTGCCGGATAAATCTCATCGGCATCAAATTCCTTCAGCTGAACAGATTGGCGTAGCTTTTACCCTAGCTATCCGAACAAGTTTGAAATTGGCTATCCGAGATTAAAATCTTAAAATGAACGCAGTTTAGGCTATGAAAATGTATGTCTATAAGAACTTTAAATTTTAGACAAAGGACTGAAAAAGTTGGAAAGATGACAGAAAGTAGCTAAGGCCCAGTTCATATGCCGCATTTGTGTCAAGTGTCAATTAAATGCGGCAAAAATACGGCGTCTGAAACCGAATAAGAATTTATCAATTTAACGCGGTAGAAATGCGGCAGCTCTGCCGCATTTAAATAACAATTTCAGCAGAAATGCGGCTTGGTTTCAGACGCCGTTTTTCTGCCGCAGCGAATTAAATGAAAGTTGTGATTGATATTGATTTTGATTGATCGAAGATGATTAAATGGTAATACGCATGCGTATAGTTGTGCTGTGCCCGCCAAAATTTATTAATCTCATAGTCTTTGGTTATAATGGCTGTCTTTCAAACTTTCAAACTTGTCAGCAAAGAAAGTATTTCTTACTCATTTTGTTGGCCAATGAGGCTCGACCACTTCCCTTACTTGATCACAAGCTTGAAAAATAGGAATTTACACAATACACCCTAAAACATCCATAAAAAATAATAATAGATTTTCAAAACAGTATACAGTCGACTCCGCTTATCGTCGACTCCGGTTACAGTCAGATCAAATTTAGACCCAAATATGCAAAGCTTTTAAATAAAATGTAGACCCAAATAGCCCCGTTCACAGTGTCACAGTCAGTTTACAGTCACAAGTTTTAGAACATCTTAAATTTGGCCAAATAATCTGAAAGAACAGCATAAAAAACCTCTCAATGTGCAAAATTAGCTAGATATGTTCCAAATTGGGCGAGATATGGCCAATGAAAGATGTAAAACGACACTGTTTTACAGTTTCCCTGGTTAGTCCAGTACAAAGGAAACAACAGTTTATTCCAACAAGAAACAGAACATATGAATAATCAGCGATAAAAACCACAAGCAATAGTTCAGCAATTTAATACAACAAGCAATATTCGTCGGCGGCAATAATGTTCGGCGGGTACACTGTACTGTATTTAACGGTTAACTGCAACTTCATAAAACGGAACGGCTTCGACACGACTTCACTTCTCGGCTTTACACTACGACTCAATATCACGAATTTTCTTGACTGACTCAACATAAAACAGCATGGCAATATAATGAGTAACACATGACCAAGAGACAATAGGACGCTGACAACAAGTGATGGCAACTAATGAGAAATGGCATGGCAACGGATTACAGATTAACAAGAGGAGCACTTACAAAATTAAGAATCACATCACTGACACGCAACAGGACAATCTATTGTTTAACAAAGATTTCAAGTTTGCTAACGGATTACTGCTGTTCTGGCCTGGTTCATAAAGTTATGAACCAAGACCAAATTCTTCTCTATAATCAGCTACGTCACTATGGAATCCCATGAGATGCGGGCGCATGCGCTACAAGTCATTGCGGACTTCGCTGCGAGTCATCACGACGTGTTTTACAAGCTTCCAAATCGCGATAGATTGGTAAGTGTACAAATTTTCATTTTCTAGTTGATTTAACTCGGCTCAAACATTATCAATTTAGTCTTGTTCACAGTTAATTGGGAAAAACAAAATTTTAAATTTCTCCATATTTCTCTAGAAATGTCAGAGTCAGAGGACAAAACTGTGTCTGAGGATGGAGCGGAACGGCAGGAACCTCCATTAGAAACCACGCCTTCCATTGACCCCTCATTAAACAAAACTTTGTTAGAAATAAATACAAATATGGGTAACATGGCGGCTCTTCTCCATCAACTGTCATCGGGTAGTTTGGCAATTGGCCACCGGCCAGCCCGTTACATTTCCACCGGAATGAACCTCTTGTCCACCGGACTTCCTACTTTGCCCACCGGGCTTGTTGCTTCATCGTCCACCGGAGTAAACCCAAGCAATAAACGAAATTTATCAGACCCTGATGAATCCGAGCCACCAGAAAAGCGTAATGTTACCAATGATAATAACATTGATGAAAGCCTTAGCATTTATGCAGATGATGATGATACTGATTCACTTGTGGGCGATGCCCACGATCTATTAGCAAAAACTAAGGCCAATAAGCAAAGTGAGCCAACCGGGCCATCAAGTTCAGCAAACCCAGACACATCTGAATTTCTTGATGGTTTAGCCAAAGCACTTGAAACCTCTGACGATCTCGGCGCTAACGTAAATGATAAATTGGCCGAGATAATTAACAAGCGTTGGGAAAAGACGTTAACCCCTGAGAAATTGAAAATTATTCTTGACAAATACAAAAGACCAGCCAACTGCACTGCACTGCACCCTATTAAGGTCAACAAAGGTGCATGGGAACATCTTAAATATTATAAGAAACAGGAAGATCTAAGGTTAGCTAACATGCAACAAGTTTTGCGGAAAGTTGCCTACATAATGTTGCAAACCACAGATTTTCTCCTTGTAGAGGCTTCTTCCTCACAACGCGAGGAAATTAACAAATATGTCTCCCAGTCAGTGGATGCACTTGCACTCTTAGGTCACCTGACTGGAAATATCTCGTCTCTCAGACGAAGCACTATGAAGCCCCTTCTAAGACCGGAGTATCAACCACTTTGCTCCTCCATCACTGAAATCCCACATGGTCCCTACCTTTTTGGTGAAGATTTAAATAAGCAGCTAAAAGAAGCTGAAGAATCAAACAAGGTCGCGAAGGCTTTCAAAGGAAACCCTAAAAATCGCTATAAACAGCAACCTTTTATCCAAAGCCCTTCCCAGCAAAACAATGCAAGGCGTGATTTTTTATGGCGGGGCAGCCAGAATCAATTTCGGAAAAAGCAACCGTACCAGGCAAACAGCCGGTTCCAACAGAAATCCGGCCAAACACAACAAACAGGGAAAAAATTTTGATTGATTTGCAACAGTTAAATGTAAGTGGATTTATTGCTTATTTGCCTTGCCTTATATCTTTACTTTTACATGAGTGTGAAAACTTTAGAGCTGGTAGAGTATCAAAATTTCTACTGGAATGGAAGTCAATTACTGCTGACCCAGACATTATTTCGCACATTTCTGGGGTCAAGATTGAATGTGATTTTCTTCCTGAGCAACCTGCTTCTAAAACATCACAATTCAATCCAACTGAGTTTGCTATCATTCAATAAGAGATTGATACATTGTTATCAAAAGGGGTTCTAGAACAAGCATCGCCAGTAGCTGGGCAGATAATTTCGCCTATTTTCCTCTGTCCAAAACCTGACGGAACACACAGGATGATATTGAATCTTAAACAATTTAACCAGTGCGTGACGTACCACCATTTCAAAATGGACACATTAACTACGATCACTAACTTAATTACACCCAATTGTTTTATGGCATCCTTGGATTTGAAAGATGCTTATTATAGTGGTTTTGTTGTCCATGAAGATAGAAAATGTCTTAGGTTTAAATTTAATGGCAATTTACTGCAATATACCTCATTACCAAATGGTCTTTCTTCTTGTCCACGCACTTTCACAAAGATTCTAAAACCGGTTTTGTCAACCCTTCACAAAGAAGGGCACATAGCATCTGCCTACATTGATGACATATATTTGCAAGGCGACACTTTTGAGGAATGCTTAGCAACCGTAATGAAGGCAATTAAGCTGTTTACAACGTTAGGTTTTATCATTCATCTTAGTAAATCAACTTTTATTCCAAGTCAGAAAATTAAGATGCTCGGTTTTGTTCTTAATTCTAAGGATATGACTGTAAGTCCTACACAAGATAAACGAAATAGCACAATCGCTCTTTGCTCAACCATTCTCCATCGCAAAACAAGTTCCATCAGGAATGTTGCGCAACTTTTGGGCAAGATAGTTGCTTGCTTTCCAGGGGCATTGTTTGGACCACTTTTCTACCGTCAAATAGACCATGAGAAAACAATGGCTCTTAAACAAAACAAAGGCAATTTCAACAAACAAATTGGCTTGTCCTTTGATGCCAAGACAGAAATCAAATGGTGGATTGAAAACTTGCCCAGGGTTTTTAAGCCATTAACACGAAATCATGCTTCTATGGAAATGAAAACTGATGCGTCTCTTCAAGGTTGGGGAGCTACTTGCCAAAATATTTCCACCGGAGGACTATGGTCGTTTGACGAGAAACATAATCACATAAATTATTTGGAAATGTATTCTATTTTTCTAGCATTGAAAACATATGCAAATGATCTAACAGATAAGCATATAAAAATTTTATCTGATAACTCAACAGCAGTACTTGTGTTGTCACACATGGGTACTAGCCGTTCAATTACTTGTAACAATTTATGTAAACAAATTTGGTTTTGGTGCATTGAACGTAACATATGGTTAACACTAGCACATATCCCTGGAAAACAAAATATTGAAGCAGATAGGGAGTCACGACGCTCTGCTAATACCTCTGCAGAATGGAAATTAAACTCTAAGATTCTGCAGTCATGTTTAACTGATATAGGTTTTACACCATCAGTTGATTTGTTTGCATCAAGGCTCAATAAACAGTTTGACAAATTTGTATCATTCAAACCAGAGCCAGAGGCTTTTGCCATCGATGCATTTACCCTTGACTGGTCCACTTACAAATTTTATGCTTTTCCGCCTTTCAGTCTGATAACCAGAATGCTCAAAAAGATCCAAATAGACCAAGCAGAGGGAATTTGTGTGCTTCCAAACTGGCCTACACAACCTTGGTATCCCACAGCCACAAAATTGATGAAATCAAAGCCAATTTTACTGAAGCCAAGTCGTCGATTGCTTCAGCTGACTTCGAGCCCTTCTGCGATTCACCCCCTTTGCAACAACCTTCATCTCGTGGTATGTCTCTTATCAGCCAAAAAATAACAACCTCAGAATTATCCAGCTCCGCCAAGCATATTTTACTTTCCTCTTGGCGACCTGGAACCCAAAAACAATATAATTCGTACCTTGATCGCTGGAAAACATATTGTGCTCAAAACTCAATTCAGGTTTTCAACCCTACCATTGAGCAATGTATCGAATTTTTAACCAGTTTATTTGACAGTGGCCTTGGCTTTACTGCCATAAATACAACGAGGTCAGCCCTTTCGTCTATAATTACTTTGTCAAATGGTTTATCAATAGGTGAAAGCCCTACTATTTGTAGATTTCTCAAGGGCGTTTTTGAGCTAAGGCCTGCTCTACCGAAATACAACGTTATATGGGATGTTGGTACACTCTTGGATTACTTCAATCAGCTTAACCCCATTTCTAAATTGAGTCTCAAAGAATTAACACACAAAACAACAACACTCTTACTTTTGCTCACTGGTCAACGTTGTCAGACGATTCACAGTATAGAGCTCTCTGGCATCCAAACTTTTCCGGATTTGGTTCGCATCACAATTTTAGAACCAATTAAAACATCGAAACCTGGGAAACACGTTCAACCTTTGGAATTAAAAGCGTTCCCTACTAATCCAAACCTTTGTATCGTTTCACATCTAACCGAATACATAAAACGTACATGTATCTTTAGAGGTTCCCATAGGAAACTCTTTTTAAGTTATCAAAAGCCACACAACCCGGTTTCTCGAGAGACAATTTCTCGGTGGGTGAAATCAACCATGAAATTGGCTGGCATAGATACAAATGTTTTTACGGCACATAGCTGCAGATCTGCCTCGACTTCAGCAGCCAAAGCATCTGGCCTCTCTTT